CCGACCGACCGACACGGGAGTGCGGCGGACGCGCGTCTCCGCGTTCACAAGCACGCTCTTCCGACCCCAGGAACGCGCGCGCGCGCGGGGAGGGGGACATACTCCACAGACACGGGTCGCCCCCCCCTCCCGCTACCCCGGGCCTTGAGCCTTCGGGCTGAGGAAAGGGGCCAGAGGGGGGGTGCCTCCCGGGGGGGGCTTCCTCCTCCTGCCGCTGCGGTGTCTCTCTTACCACGATAGAGCCCTCGCTCAGCCGGACCGCCATCCTGACGAGACCCGGAGCTTTCCCGCTTCAAGCGCGCGCGACGCCTTCCCCACCCCCTTCCCGGTCCTTTTCCAAACGACGACACCTGGCGGCCACGGAGGCCCCGCCCCCGACGCCCTCCCGGCGCCGCGCCCCGCCATTGGCCGGCGTCTCTACCTCCGCCCCGCCTTCGCGCCACGTGATGCCGGCGCGGAGGCTCCCATTGGTCCGAGGGCGGTGCGTGAGGGCGGAAGAGCCTCCCTCGCGCCTCTTGCCGGCTTCACCGCCGACGCCGCCTCGCCGTCCCTCGCGGGCCCTCCTCGGCATTTCGCGCCTCTGAGGTAAAATATAAAAAGAGAGAGAGAAGGGAGGCGCCGCCGCCGTTCCCGCGCTTTTCGCCTCGGGGCCCTTTTCCTGCCTCGTCCGTTGACTAATTAATTAATTAATTAACTAGACACGTTGGGGGTGGTCTCTTGCCTTCCCTGCATTTGGTGTGATGTTTGTTTTCATTTTCCGTGAGGGAAATTGTTTTTCTCAGTTCTCCTCACAACCACCCTGTGAGGTGGGACGGTCTCGCCCCTCCCCACCCCCCGCCGTCAAGGTTTGTGGCGAATGAGGGATTTGAACCCGGGGCCTTGTTACAGGAGCAACCCGTCTTTATATTTACCTCATGCTCAGATTTACACCTCTCTCAATGGCGTGTTTTAAATGTTAATGTTCTTCCTCTCGCCATGGAGCTGATTTAGGCCTTTTCTAAATCTACCCCCTCCCCGCGCACCTAAATTAGGCGAGCTGAAAATATTCTTTAAAAACAGCAATATTAAGTAAATTAGGAACCAGTGTTAAAAGCCAGCCTTTTTGGAAAGCAGCTACATTTTCTTTTTTTAAAGTGCTACATTTAAGGTTCCTTTTAATTAATTAATGTACTTATTTCAAACATTTTTACTTTATTTTCTTAGACTTACAATAGAGCATGTTTAGCCCACCTTTCTCCTTAAAAAAGACCCAAGGGGGGGGGGTTACAACAATTAGGAGACAATATTTAAAGCTAGGAACAGTTAGTATACAAATATTTGAAAAGAACTGAACAAGTATTCTCTATAATTAAACAAGTATTATATTTTAAATTCAGACAACCGTACAAAACGGTCTTGGCTACCCACCTGAAGCTCTTCTTTCTATTTACTTAGAAGGGTTGAATCCCATTTTTTTCTTTTAATATTAGATTCAGATAAAATTTGCCCTTGAGTTATATTAACTGGGTAGTTAATACAGTATCAGGTGTATCTGATACTTTGCATTTAAATTTTTCTCTCAGATTAATTTATATTTAATCTATTTCTTTTTACTTTATGTTTTATCTTCGGCTATGTGCATTATACTTACATTTTTTTCTATGATTTAATTCATTTCCCCCCTATAGTTCAGCATTTTTATTAAGCTTATTTTATATTTATCTCAATAAAGATAAATAGAAACCTATCTTACATTGCTATTTTCCCAATTCTTTAGTCTTATCTTTCTTGTGAAGGTATCTTAGTGGTAGTTCCCTGGGATTTTGTAATGAAAAAAGATAAATTGAATTTATTCTAAATTTTGTTTATAGGCTTCTTAAGCGTCAGTGGGTGAAGCTGGTAGAATTATTGGCAAGACTTGTCCCACCTCAAATAATAGTTTCCCTTTTGCCTCACTAATAGTATTTTCCTTTCTTTCCCTCTAGCTTATCATGGATTATCCAGTGGAAAAATGGAAGTTTTACGTGAGCCAGAAATGGGCTTCTCTGGAGCCATCCTTGAAGGAGAAGCTGCGTCAACCCATATTGCTCAGAGACAGTTTCTCATTGTCCCTGTCTCTCTTCCAGTAAGTATAACTAACAAAAAGATGTAAAATTTCCAGAAATATGTAAGGTATGTGGGGGAAATTGAAGCTTCCTCCTCTTTTTCTGGAGAGAGAAAAAAACCCAGAACTTTGGCACAAAACTGCAATCCTTAAAAATGAAATTAAACTAGTTTTCTGTTTTAGCAACATAAAATGCTTCATTCATGACTTCGTTAAAATGCAGAGTTGTAGTCTGTAATGTGAGTTTGAAATACAAAGATATAAAAGCCTTATCTTGCCCCAACAACATGATTTTTAGCTTAGTATATGTTTTTTTTAGCTTGAATACATGCTTAACCCGATACTAAAGAGAAAGGTAGAAGTTGTGGCATTTTCTGTATTGCCAATCACAAGTAATGTCTCTCAGACTCCCCCAAAAGCACAAGAATGCCACTTGGAATTTAATTCTGTAGACTGTGTTACTTGCAGATCTTCATGTTGTGCTGTTTTTGGCATTCCAAGTAAATAAAACCTTGTTTTTTAAAAATAGATTTCACTCCTTCTAAAAGAGAAAATCCTTTACTGACGTGTTTTCCTAGGTTTCCCAAAGTTTCAATTTTTTGCATTGGAAAAATACTTCCCCCCCACCTCCTGAATATTTCCAAGCCTTCACGCTTCTGGATTGACATCCATGGATGCTTTGTTGGGGAGCCTGTGTGTTACCCTTTTTCTACACCAGATTCAAAATGTTACCTCTTGCCATTTTTCCCCTCATCTTATATAGACATGAAGATGAAGAATATTTGTTCAACCTGTCCAGGTCCTACTGTGTGACAAAAGATGCCAAACTGGGCCTCTCTTGCAAGGAAGAAGGGAATCAAAAGTTCCGGAAGAAGGAGTACAGAACAGCTGCTGTGCTGTATTCCAGGGTAAAGTCGGGGTGGGGGGGCACAAAAGCATTCCTATACGAAGCCTGTTTATTTCACAGATGTTTGAAAAATCCTGCTCTCTACATTGGGTTAATTCCAGTCAAGATGGCTTAAATTAGCCTTTTAAAATCAGCAAGGGGTGGGGTGAAGGATCTGCTCTAACTCAAGCTTCCCGCCAATGCAACTTCAAGTACAGTATTTTGTAAACTTTGGGTTACTTTCACTTTGTTTCATTCTCACAGCTAAATGTTGAATCTTTTGGACACATTGTGTACATTTTGTAGGCTCTTCTTTTACAAAGAGGATGTTTATTCCTTTTATAGGTAAAGATGTTGCCAAATTACTCTGAATAAAAAAGATTCTTTCCTTTTGGAAAAGTTATTTCTGGTGTATAGCAGGCACAATAGTTTGTGAGATTTAATGTGGAAATTTGAACAGAGGTTGGCTAGGGAAATTATTTTATATCTGCAATTCCAATTTCCAGACTCCCCCCATCCGTGCCACCGGCTGCAGGGGAGTCGGAATCCAAAACGGTAACTTTTCCAGGCTCTAAAAAATGGGAGGAATGTACACATGTCTGTCTTCTGTCCAAAAGGAAAGCAGCAGCAAGCAAAAGTGGAACCGTGAATAGGTAAAAGTAAGGACTTTTGCTTATTGGTCAGGCTCTGTAGTGGCTAAATTCTATCAGTTGCATATACAAATGCTTATGTTTAATTTAAAGGCCTTTGACATTGTGGCATGACAGCTGAAGATCCCATTCCTAGAAAAATGAACATAAATACAAGAAGCTCTGGTTCAGAGATTAGCTTTCTCATTCTTTAAAGCACAGTTCATGTTTATATATCATTTAAAAGGAATTAAATTTTGAATTAGATTTTTTAAGATCCGTACACAGCTTAAGCGCAGCCTTAGGGAAGGCCCTTTCTCTGTTTTCTGGCCAGACTTCCCCACCTTACCCCTCTACCTACTCTTGCTTTCCCTTTGATCTCTGCAGGCGTTGTCCCATGTAGAGGCTGGCAGCACAGACATGGCTGTGTGTTACGCTAACCGCTCTGCAGCACTTTTCCACCTGGGTCAGTTTGAGGTGAGTTTGAGGAAGATGCTTCTGCATGGGCCACAAAGGCAAGTGTCTTATTGGTGGGGCTCAGGCTGGCAGGGGCAGACGGGGGTGGATGAATATCTGTTCTCAGCATGAAACCTCATCTCAGGGCTGAACATTTGGATCACCAAGGCCTGGGGCATGTTGCAGGGTTCAGATGCCACAGAACCCTCTTCAGGCACTCAGAAGGCCTTGCTTTTGTCTGCCATACAGGTTTGTTTGGAAGACATTAGGAGGGCTCAGGAAGGGGGCTATCCAGAAAGACTGTGGCCCAAGATTTTGCTGAGGAAAGCAGAATGCCTCTTTACTCTGGGAAGATTACAGGACATGGCAGACGCTCTTGCCAGCATGGAGAACCAGATCTCTGCAGACCATAACCTGGACGGTACTGGCAGCCACCGGGACCTACTTTGCAAGCTTCAGCAGCTGAAGATCAAAGCCCGTAAGGAGGGCAGTGGCTTGGTCTCTCAGCCAGCTGCGCCCCGCAGAACCCCGTCTGAACCAGAGCCCTGGAATAGAAACAGCCGGATTCCATGCGCCTCGTCGTCAGTGAGCTTGGCCTTCTCCCTCTGCAAGGGGCGCCATTTGGTTGCTGCCAAGGATATTCTTCCTGGTGAAATCCTGGTGAAGGAAGAGGCTTTTGTGAGCGTGCTGCGCCCAGGAAAAGGCCTCCTGTCGCAAGGTAGCGCTGGGGCCGCGTTGGACGGTCAGTTGGCTCCTGAAGACCTTCACTGCCACCACTGCTTGAAGGCAGTGCTGGCCTCTGTTCCCTGCCAGAGTTGTAGCTATGCCAAGTACTGCAGCCCCCAGTGTGCCCAGCTGGCATGGAATGGCTACCACAGCAGAGAGTGCTCCCTGGGGGGGCTCCTCCTCCTTCTGGGGGTCTTCTGCCACACTGCCTTGAGAGCCGTTCTGGTGGCAGGCTTTGCCCAGGTCCGCCGTTTGGTGAAGCAGTCCCACATCGAGTCTCTTGCCGAAGCACCAGGTCCTGGGATGGTCACGGAGGGGGACCTGGCCTCCATTCCTGGCTGTGATGCTGAGGGCCGGTACAGCAGCTCCTACCAGACCACCTTCAGCCTTCTGGCGCATACCGACAGACACAGTCCCGAGCTCCGGTTCCTTTGCAGCCTGAGCGTGGCTGGTTTGTGCAAGGCGTTTGGAGCTCCTGATCTGGAGGCGATCGTTGATGAGAAGGATGCGTCCGGAAGTCAAGAAGAACCTCCAGCTGCTGGAGCCTCCTCAGAGCTCGAAGTCTTGGGGGAAGCCATGCTGAGGCACATGCTGCAGCTGCCGTGCAACGCCCAGGCGGTGGTCGCGCTTTCTGCCTCAGGTCAGTGGGTGAGATGGCCGGGCTTGTTGAGAACTACTGCCCCCTTAGACCCATGTGGGAGCAGCACATCAGCCTAGAGGAGGAACCAGGACCCCAGAGAGATCATGGTTGTCTCTCATCTCTGAAACCTTTTTGTCCTTTACCCTTCAGGTTCAGAAGAGGGCCCAGTGACTGGCAATGAAGAGATAGCCCTGGCCACAGCTCTCTTCCCTGTCGTCAGCCTCCTGAATCATTCATGCGACCCGAATACCAGTGTGGCTTTCAGTGGCAGGACCATGGAGGTCAGAGCCTCGCATCCAATTCCCTTCGGTCAGGAGATCCTTCATTGCTACGGTGAGGAGCTCCTGCCACTTTTCAAGCAATGGGGTCGGGTGGGGGCCCAGCGTTCGTGCACGGGCAGCCTTTCAAAAGGAAGCCAAAGGTAGCGGTTCGTCTTTGGCTCATCTCTGGATTTTCCTTTCTTCTTTTCCTTCCCCGCCCCCTTCCTTAAATGAGTGCCTCACACCTGCAGGGCTTTGGAGGTAGGAGGCTATTTCACAGTTCCTTGCATGGCAGCTTAAAATTTGCCGTTGAGGAGAGCCGGCAAAAGGTTTTCATAACCTCTTTCTGGCAATCAAGGTGCTAGTTTTCTTTCTTTCTTTTTTTTTAAAGGATTGTATCGGAGCTGCAGAGTTTTATGATTTCAGTTTCAGTTACTGTACCTGGAATAGGAATGGATTAGGGAGCCCAGTCAGGTGATCAGTGAGATATAAATGTTTAAGTAGTGATGGGCATCACGTTTCTGGGTGACCCAGTGCATGGGATTTTTCCAACTTGAAAGAACAGGCAAGTCGGAATGAACATTGCGCATGAACAGGTGCCAGATCCAGAAGGACTAGGCTCTCTGGAGATGGGCCTGCCATGCTGTGCTCGGGCGCAGCTGCTCCACTGCAGGGCCATGCTCAAGCCAAGCCTGCCCTCTGGGTCTGGAGTCAAAGGTGGCTCCTGCACATACAGCTGTCATGCCACAGCCACCAACCACCCCACACTATCTAACCACCTCTTGAAATCTGTGCTTCCGTTTCTTAGTTTAGACCTGAAGGAAGCAGGAATGGACATTGTTCTAATGTTAGCAAAGGCCTGGTAGTTTGTGTGTTCTTCCAAAACTGAGGACTAAAACATCAGGTTTTTGTTGTTGCTGTTAAAGGCTCCAGTTTCTGCCCAAGTAAATTCGGAACAAAACTGGGAAACAAAAAGTATGATGCCTCCTGTTCTGACTTTTGCTTGTAAGCATCCTGAGCTCAGTCTGTATTTTAATTAGTTTTTGTTTTTTCTCTTCTTCTTTGTTCCGTTTCCGCTCCCTCTCCATAGGGCCTCACCATTGCAGAATGGGGGCCTCCGAGAGGCAGGAGCGACTCCTTTCCCAGTATTTCTTTGAGTGCCAGTGTCGGTCATGCAGCAAGGAACTGAATCCCAGCTCCAAGGGCATCCCTTCTGCTCAGCCCAGCCTCTTCTGCTGCCCTGCCTGCCACCTGCCCATGCAGGTAACACGCCGCTTTTGCAGCATCCTTTCTGCAGCCCTGAATTGGGGAGCTGCACCTCCTAGAGAGTTAGGCCGATATGGGAAAGTCCTCTGCTTGTCGTCCTGAGAGGATGGGAGCAGCCTTCCCGGTCACAGCCAAACTCCCCCACCCCATCCCCAGGCAAGCATCTTTCTTCCATTAGTGCCTCACTGAGAGGAAGGGAGTGAAGTCTCCCTTCAGCTCTTGAAGGTAATGGCCTTCTCCTGCTATGGAAGACTCTGAACATGGACATGGCATAGACCCACTGCAGCTCACAGCTGTGAGGCCACAGAGGAAGGCACACATTTTCTGTGCTTTGAAATGTCTTCCCTTGGGTTCTGTCTATTGTCAACTCCCTGCCTGTTGCTAAATCCAAAAGTCAGGGTGTGGGTGTCACTTCAGAACATGGAAAACTTGCCCACTTCCATCCTGGCAATACTGGGGGGAACACGGTTTTATTTTCAGTGAGAGCTGTGGAGATCTCTAATTGGGGATATAGTTTCCAGTATTGCTCAGGCTGCGTGGAGGCAGTCTCTGCAGTGGCCTTCCGGGAGCAGCCACCTTCCCATGGACTTCTGAGAGCTGTGGCCCAAAAACACAAATGGGCACAGCTCTAACTTTTAGTTATATTCTGTTTAGATGTTTTTGAATCCAAGTAGTTTATAAATTTCTGCGATGTACTAAATAAATAATTACTTCTAAAATGTGCATTGCTTTTCCCAGCAGTCGTAAACCTCTCCTGTCCTTACTAAACTTTCCAGGGGCAAGGCATGCTCTGTTGTTCCAGCAGAACCTGCAAAACGCAAGTCCCTGAGGAGACGTTTCAGCTTCAGCTGCGGGATCTTCAGCGGCTCACTCAGAGGGCCCTGAAGCTTCTGGAACAAGGCGAGGCAGGTGAGAAAGAGCCTGCAAGGCACATGCCAGCTCCCTGCCTGACGCTTTGGTCACAATAAGGAGGAAAGGACTTTTGGGGAAGATAGTGCGGTCTTCCTCCTGGCCGCAGAGTGGCAGCGTTGCCCCGCTTGAGCTGGGTGTGCAGATATGTTCATCCCAACTCTCCAGGCTTGGCTGTAAGAGACAGGCTTCCAGGAAAGACTGGAGTGGGAAGGCCCAGTTAAAGGAAGCTTTGAAGAAAATTCAAGAAACCAAAATGACTCAGGATCATAAAGTGCCTGTTTCTTTATTATGATGATGATTTTGCAAGCCCAGCATTTAGAGAAACCCTCTTTTGTTCATGTAACAAAGAACAGACAAAAAAAGCCCCTAAAGGATCAAAATTGAGGATGAAATGACAGGGAGCCCAAATAAAAGGTGTTACTTGACCCTCCGGGCTGGCTGTGCTTGTCAGGTTGTCGCTGGGTGTGTGGTTGCATGAAAACAGGCAGACCCTTGGTGATCTTGTGTTAGGGTGAAGGCTTTTGCAATTTTCAGAGTTCCCTCTTGTTGGGTGACTAAACCAAAAGAAGAAGAAGGCTAAGGTTTGTTGACCCCCTGTGGTGAACACACAGCCTGACGACTACGAGCGAACCCTTTGAATCAGGAAGCCAAGGGTTTTTTGCTTTTTTATTTACAACATTTCCATGTGGCCCTTCTTGCATAATGTGGGGTCCTTACAGAGTCCTCGAAGGTAGCTGCAGTAGATGAGAAACATTAATTTAGAAAAATGCTGAGCCAGCACCATCCTGGCCCCACTTTGTGACCCGTGGAGGTATGGATGTAGGCCTACCTTGCAGGGCTGTTGTAGGCATCCCTGAGATGGCTGATGATGTCATGCAATGTCACACATTTATTTCTCAGGTAAATCAATGGAGCTGCTGCAGAAATGCCAGATGGAGGCCAAGAAATTCCTCTCTCCGGTGCACCTGCTCATAGGGGAGATTGAGGATCACATGGCGCAGGCCCAGGCGACCTTAGGTAAGGTGCCCTTTGAAGTAAAGATTCAGGTGGGCCCCAGGAGGGCAGGTGCTTGGCATGGTCTGCCTTCCATCAGCACTACCAGCCCCTGCATCTCTACGACGGTTAAAGCCTTTGAACTGAGTACGTCTTAGGTAACCTTAACATTGAGAAGGCTTGGTGCCTTCTAAATACGTTGGAGTTCAGTTCCCACAATTCTCCAGCTAACTCTGCCCACTGTGGAGCGTGAGAGTTGGGGGTCCGTGTCTTTGGAAGAGACCAGACTGGGGAAGGCTGGCCCGACCACCAGAGAAGAGCCTTTGGAGCTGCCTCAGACCCTGGCAGGTCGGTCAGAAGCAGCGTCCTGTGCCTCTCGAGGGACAGATGCCCAGAGAGCAGCAGTGGCAGAGGGGGTAGGGGGTCCTGCCTCTCTCTCCTGCGGCTTGTCCTCAGAATCCGGCCTCCTGTGGTCAGCCAGTCAGTTGCTTCACAGTGGGCACACAAATACGTGTGACCTCCAAAAATCTCCATCGATCACTCTGGTCAGCTCTTGAAAACCCTTCTTTACGCAATCAGCCCATCCCGTGAATAGGGAAAGGGCTGCATTTTCTTATAGTAAAGAAACATTTAGGACAAATAAGTAAACAAACAATGATAGCAAAGCACGGTGGAACAGAGTGAGATGGCCACTGAAGGAAGACGTCAACACAAGCGTTCCCGTTTAGAGCCAAAGGATCCATGAGATAAAAGCTAATGAAACCCTAGCTGTGGGAGAGACGACCCAAGGGTTTGTAGGCCCAGCGTGTTAGATGACAGCTGGGATCCCTCACCCTGACCCTCTTTCCTTCCGCTTTGCTAGGGAGGTGGCATGAAGCCTCTGGGCACTTGCGCAGTAGCATAAGGGTGGTAGAAGCCCACTTTGGCCCCTCCAGCATCGAAGTGGGCCAGGAGCTCTTCAAACTGGCCCAAGTCCTCTTCAATGGGTAAGTCCCCACCCCTCCGCACCCCCACCCCTACTCCTGTTCTGCCGTGATGGCCATGGGCTATCCGTTTCATTCTTGGCCAGTTTCAAGCGGTTTCTTATGACTGCGAGAGGCTTAAAAAGCAGGGGGCCTCCGGCCACCATGTGTTGCATTTTCCCCCTCTTCCTAGGCTGAATCCTTTGTCATTTAGGGGGGTGTTTTCAAAAAGGTTTCTTTAATTTGAATATTTTTATAATTTGTTTGGTTTTCAGTGAACTACTTGCCATAATTACAATCTGTGTTTTATTTCTTTATAAATTACTCAGGAGCCCCTTTGGATGTACAAAGGAATGTACGCATTTCATAGTCTAATCAGAAGCAACTTTTCCTGGTACTGTTTTTTCTCCTCCTTTCCTTCCTTCTCCCAGGGAACCTTTTAAAAGCCAGGTGTTCTTGCTCTCCTTATTGTCTAGTTCCTTTTCTCTGGCCCCTCCATCTTCTTGCCCAAGGGAAGACTCGAGTGGCCGAAATTATGTCTGTGGCGCTGCAGGAGAGCCCCAGCACTGTCTTTTCCTGACGCCCATGCCCGCTCCTTTCTTTGTGGCCAGGTGTGCTGTGTCAGAGGCCCTGGAGGCCACAGAGAAGGCGGAGGCCCTTTTGTCTCTCCATTTGGGGAGCCAGAGCGCCCAGGTCCAGGAGCTACAGGAGATGAAAGCCTGCCTGGAGGACTTGCTCGGAGGAGGAGACGCTGTCACAGCAGCCAGATCGTAAGTGGAAAGGGTGGACACCCACTGCCTGGGCTGCTGCTCATGTGACCTCCTGGGGCAAGTTGGAGACGGGGAGGGAGGGCAGGGGAATGCCCACAAATCCTGTGATGTTGTTGCATTCCATTAAATCCTCCTGGTCTTCTCTATTGGTCTGGAAAGCACACACACACACGCACACACACTCTTCTCTGTTCCTTCTCTGATTCTCAATACACTGGATTTGACTTTGTGCTCAGTTGCTGCTTTTGCCTCACAAGGCCGGTGCTGACGCCCTCCTCCTTTTCTAAGAAGCCACCTGGCCCTTTGTTGTCCCCTGAGATTCCCCTGAACCAGAAATGCAGAGGTTTGACCTGGAACTGTCACCAGCAAAACCTCTTCCCTTTCCCACTAAGTGAGGCCTCCTGCTGTGAAGTTCCCCTAAAGGCACTGAGGGCTGTCCTTGCGGCTGCCACTGTCCATGGGGATGGATGTGGGGGAGAGGATGGGGACCTGAAGAGGCTGGTGTTTGAGCACAGAAAAGGGGGTGGTGCTGAAAAAGAAGGCGGGGTGGAACCAGCAGGGGACCCAGAGCACTGGGTATGGCAGAGGGGGGGCACCCTTGGATCGTCTCCTTACGCCGAGTGACAAAGAAAAAGAACAGCCACCCGCATGAGTGACCGTCTTCTGTGCGCACTGGTGTCAGGAGGAGGGGAGCAGGTGGGCCAGGGGCAGGTCTTGCTAGAAGGGACCCTCGGAAACACGTGGACCATTTTGGCCTTCTGCACCCACGCTCTGCTCTCTTGCTACCCCTGAGCTCTTGTTGTGAGAGCATTGTGTCACCACCTCGCCCTGAATGAGTCCTGGAACTGGACGAAAAAAACAAAAGGGCGGGGCGGGGGGGGACTTTTCTCAGCTCAGTTTCCCATCTGCTACTTCCTGCTACTGTGTGTGGTTCAGCATTCTCTGCTGTCTGCAGAGGGGTTTCACTCTAACCTGCTGAGAGACTGTCCTTGAGGCATGTTCAAGGTGGAAGCACTTTTATTGAGGCACATATAGGCATAACCGTTGTTGGGGGGGGGGCTCTCCAAGTGCGGCTGGGCAGAGCAGCCGAGAGACTCTCCCCACCCGCCCTTTTGCTCACTTGACCACAGGCTGCGCTTGAGGTTGGGCGAAGGGTCTAAGTATTCCGAGGGTCCAGGATTTTGCCGATAAAGAGGAGCGCTCCCGTCTCATTGTCCCAGAGCACAAACAGGAAGGGCTTGTCCAGGTTGTAGGCAATGGGGAAGTTGAGGCGGGCAGCCTCTGTGTCCGAAGGAAAGGTGGCGCTCGCTCCATCTTCGCTGAGTTCCAGAGTGATTTTGTGCTTCACATGAGAGAGCTTGAGGGGCTTGGCAGCAATCTTGCTGAAGTCGGGAGTTGAAAAGAGTGCCTGGAGCCCTGCAAGGAGGAAGGGAAGGAAGGAAGGAAGGCTGGTTAAATAGAGAGAACTGAGGGAAGAGGACAGAAGAGGAGGGAAGCGCCCCAAGAGGAGGAGAGTGTGGGGAAGGCCTGGGCCAAGCCAGCCAGGGAGGCTTCTGGGAAATCCCAAGGGTGACGCGAAGCTTCCATGTATCCTGTCAAGCAGGCAGCAGGCACAGGATGAATGCAGGGCAGGGGTGAATAGGAAGAGAGCCCTTCAATAAGGCTTCCTCTGGCCTTACCCCAGGAAATTCTCCAGCAGAGAGGAAGTCTTGAAACTCCTGGAAATCTCCAGGAATTGCTGTTCACCTTCTAAGTAGAGCCACGAGGACCCTCCATCATCAGGACACCAAGAGAGAGCAATGATTCAAAACCGGGGGGGGGGGAAGACTTCTGGCCACTTTTGGCTTTAGCCTTCCTGTGGCTCAGCGGTTTGTATGGACACCAGAGGAAAAAGGCTGTGTCAGCACCACTGGCCCTCATCTCTTAACTCAGAAGGAGAGCCTGGCCGAGTACATACGCATTTCCTGGAGTGTGTTGGTCAGCTCAGCCTCGCTGGTCAGCTTGAGCCGTGGCATGGTGAGCGTGGCATGGACTGTCTTGAGCTGCTTGTCTACGTCGCGGACAAACTCTGAGGTCAGGCTCTCCTCAATCAGAGTCATATTCTGGGTCACGCTTTCAGGCAGGAAGAACATGGCGCTGAGGCTTCCCGTCAGGGGCAGCTGAGCAATCTGGCACGGCAGGAGTCGAGAGAGGAAGCAAATGGTTAGGCACTGAAATCCCACGGGAGTTCTTCCCGCCCTTTCTGCAGGATTTTGGGACACCACCACCACCACCACCCTTGCCGGAGGTGGGACAACTCTTTAGCTTCCTTTATGCTCCCTGGCTTATCTGTCATCACAGGTCCAGGAGAAGTGGAGAGGAAGAGGAGGGTCCCTTGTTCCTTGCTGGAAAGGGCGGGGGGGGGAACGTGGTCTGCTCGTACTCTTACACTTACTGACCTTGCAGTTGAGCTCGGAGTCGTAGCCATATTTCAGGATGGCCCGAGGGGCTGCCATCATGGGCACTCTCACTGTCCTGTCCTCGTCCAGGTGGAAATCGTGGAGCTTCGTTAGCTTGGAGTCAAAGCGGGTCACCCATTGCCCTGTAGTCGAGAGGGACAAAGAGGAATGCTCACCTTCCTGGCCTCCTCCCTGAAACAGCGACTCTTCCTGGGGACCAGCGGAAGGCATCACCAGGTCCTCCACCTTCCCATTAGATCCAAACACCTTGCAAGTGAAAAATTCTTCCCTGACTGCATAGTTGGACCTCTTCACCCTTTAAGGAATGTGCGCGCGCCGCCCCACAGTTTCTGTGAGGCGTTTTCCCCTTACCTTTGAAAGAAGCTGCTCCGAGGAGGAGGATGCTAATGCCGGCAGGGATCTCCCCAAGGAAGCGGGTGACCTTTCCTCCAGTCCTCTGCTGCACCCAGCTGTTGATCTCCTGGAGGTCCACACGGACGTTTCCACTCAGCACTCTGGGACGGACCCCGTAGGACTTCTCCAGCTCGTTCACGAACCCAATTTTCATTCGTAGCCCTCGGGAGAGAGCAGAAAGCCTGTCCTATTCAGCAGTGCCAGGAGTCAGGTCCAGCATGTGGGTCCCGAGCAAGGCTGTCTGCCGACAGTGCCATATTCTAAAGAGCTACAGGCCCAAGACTCTGTGGGCAGCAGAAGCACATCCATGCCTCTCCTTCAGAGTGTCAGCCGGCCTTTCCTCTTTCTGGTGCCCAAGGCAGCCGACAGCAAGGCGGCCATACAGCCCTAAACACATCCCATTGCATTTGGTGTTTGAAGCTGATGTGGTTCAGGCTTTTTTATGGCTAAGATGGGAGAGCAGCAGTTGTCTCCAGCTGGGAGATCTGGGAGAGAACCCTGCCAGAAACTCAGGAGAGAGAGCCATGGCTGCCTGACAGGAGTTGGGAGAACCAGGCTCTGTGGGCCCCGAGGATTTGTCTCTAGAGGAGACACCCACCCCTCTTCCTAGCTCCTGAGTGGTCCTGGGGGCATTGCAGGTGTGACTGATTTGATCCGGGGATAGTGTGCAGGCGCCACGAGAGCCCTTTGTTGACTCACAACAGTCATCCACCATGCCCCTGGTTGCCTCTTGGACACCCCACCCCTGCCCACCCCTGCCCACCCCAAGACACAGATGTACTTCTCTCCATGACAAGGCGGGAAACGGTCTTCAGGCCTTTGGAGGGAGCCGTGAGGCTGGCCAGGAGCTCCTTGTATGTGTTGTGGATCTCCGCCTTGTTGAGCATGTCATAGAAGAGAGCACGAGCGATGAAGTCTTCCGTCCGTTCTCCAGCACCTGCCAGCCACAGAGAAGATGCGTCAACTTCTGCCTCCCCCACGCTGGCTGCCAGCGTCGGAGCAGGAACTCACCCAGGGAGAGGCCTGAGAGGCCTGTGGCAATGCTGAAGGGTGACAGCAGGACGTTGGCGGTGGGCACCCGACTGGATTGCTGCCGGAAGAGGTCATAGCCGAAGTTGGAGACGGCGGCAGCCAGCTTGTTCACGGGGCTCTTGTAGAAGGGGTCTTCCTCCTCCTCCTCCCCTGGGGCACCCCCTGCGTTGTCCACCTTGAAGGGACAGAATGAGCTTGCTTTAGCATCGCTGTAGCCTAAGACCCAGACAGAGTAAAGAAGGGAGAGGGCTCTCCTTTCTCAAGCTCCCCAGGGCTCTTGAGGAAAGAAAGCCATTAAGGTGAACCGAGGGTATCCTGAAAACCAAGGAGTTCTTCTGTCGCCCTTTAGAAGTGAACACATGCGCCCTTGGCTTGGGCTTTTGTGGGCTCCACCCCACTTCTTCTGAGGCGGGTCCAGCAGGCTGGTCTCTGCAGAGACTTAAGCCAAAGAACTCCGGCCAGTCCTCAGAACACCACTGGGCTCTCAGTTCTGATGCAGTGGACATTCAGGGCTGCCCCTCTGGGAATTTCCAGCAGGGGATTAAATACTCTTCAGAGAGAGCAGTTGTGGTTCAGCAGGCAGGAGAGCCCGGCTGCAGAGCCGGCAGCTGAAGCACAGCAGGGGAGAGACCCCCGTTGGGCTTTTCCCCTCCCAGGTGCCGTGGGTGATCCCAACCTTCCCCTGCCAACACACTTTGGCTCTGTCCCCCGATCGGTCCACCCTGCTCCCATCTCCTCCTTCCTTTCAAACATGAACTGTGTGACTAAAAGTGCCTGGCTAATCGCTTCAGGCCCATGCTCCGCATTTCAGGAGGTGTCCTGGGCCTCCCGAGACTGACCTGTGGGTTGGTGTTTGTTGACCCACCATCTTGGCTTCTGCAGGGGGAGGTGGCCAGCAGTCCCAGCCACAGGAGAACCACCAGGTTTGGCATCGTGGAGCCTGGAAGAGGAGGACGAGGAAAAGTGGACAAGGGGAACGGCTTGGAGACTTTGTCCCTTGTCCTCAGCTGGCCTCCTCCAGCGGGGGAAGCGCCAGTTCTGAAAAGGGGCCTGAGGAGAAGATCTCTTCCTCTTAAGGCTTGGCACCTTCATTTACAAAAGAAGCAGCAGCAGCAAACCGCTTGTCTTTATTGCCATGAGGAGAGGACCTCCTTGGGCTCCCACTTCTTTGCCCCTCCCTCCCTCCCGCCGCCACCACTGGATACGTGACAAAAAGAGGGAGAATAAAAGATGGAAGCAGAGTTGAAACACTAGAGGAGCAGCGGCTTAACAACCCCAATTGAAGCTGCAGATCCGTCCCTCGGGCAATAGAGGAGATCCTTCCTCAGTGTTTGATTTTCTCTTTGAGCAGCAAAGCCTGTAGAAACTCAGTAGAACTTGGTGGCGACTGACCAAGAACGAGATCTTGGAGCTGAGGAAGGGTGGCTGACGGGAAATGCGGATCCTGTGTGCGGCCGCTGTGTGAAATGAGGATGAAGCCAGCCTGTGAGAGAAAAGGAGCAGACGAGCCTTTTTGCCCTTTTCTGCCCGCAACGCCTCCCAGATGTTTACGGAGGATGGGCTTAGCTCATGTTCTGTCCAGTCCAAAGGGTTGTGTGTCGTCCCGGAAAGACACAAACGTCATGTCCCCGAAAGCTGGCGCCATGAGGGCTGGGGCGGAGATTCAAAACTTTCATCCTTCCAAGCCTATAATTAAAGGGAAGGCCATCCTTGAAGCGACCAGATGGGCCGCCTGGCCAAGGCATGCACTTTAGATTCACGCGTCCCTAAAGGGAAAACATTTTTGACAGCACCTGAATGAACCTCGGAAAAGCCCCCAGGGATTATAGGACTTGGGGGTGGCTTGTTCTGGACGGCTTCCCCACCAGGAAGGAGCAGCTGCTGGGTTCTTGGCCTTCTTTCCCATCTTGCATCCTTCGCGAAGGGACCTGACCTAGGCGATCCCTGTCACAGCCTCACCTCCTGCCCTGCTAGCTGCCCCCCTTTCCCCTTGAAGTCTCCCCTGGGTCTGCGTTTCAGACGGTCAGTGAGGCTCCCCTGGCTTAGCTTTGAGAGCCCAAACTCATCAATCCCTTGACAGTGCCATGGGTCTGAAGCGACTCTGCTCTCCCAGTTTTAGGGGGCTGGCAGTTCTCAACCCTCATCACTCAGAAATGCTTGAAAGAGGAGAGTGGAGCAAGCCTCAGCCTCAGGAGGGATGTTGTTACGCAGAGGGTACCCTGCCCCAGTGGCCTAGCGGAGGGGTGAAAGGGCTTTGGAGAGCAGTGGGCAGCTGGCAAGAAGTAGCCACGGAGCTGGCCACACTCGTCTGTTACATCGGAGGCAGCATCAAAAGCAACCAAGAGTTTGGTGGCACCAAGAAAACTCTTCAAAGTGCTCTTCGAAGCCTCAGCGCTTTTCGTTCTGGGTGCAGCCTTGAACCAGCAGCCAAGGGTCCGCCCATAGCACGAGTCTGGAAGGCGCTGTAGGACTCTTGGTGGTTTTGACCAGGAGTAGGTTCCTGCTGAGCCCAAGCGAAGCCCTTAACACCCCTATCGTGGTGGACCTCAGTCAATCGTTCACTGCTTTCTGACTTGATCTTCCTTCCCCGTTGGAAGAATTTTCCCAGATGCTTCCAAGAAGCCGTCCTGGAATCTGTGTGAGTTCAGCTCTGCGCTCCTAAACATCTGGGTTTTATTAGCCCAACTCCCAAGAAGGCCGCCAGAAGAGAGCCTGAGAAGGAGGCCTCTCCACTTTAGCCCAAGAGGAGTGTGGTTCTTTCCCGGGGCCGGCTGCCTTGTCCTCTGCAAAAGATCCTGCTGAAGAGAAGGGGCTCCAGGAGCCAAAACCCTTACATAGGAGAAAGGCAGGCTGCTGCCCGACAAAAGGGAAGAAGGGCTAGAAGAGGTGGGTTTCTTAAAGCTGGCTTTGGCAACTGCCAGCAGGATCGGGTCGGGTGTGGGGGCACGAGGGCAGTGAAGGAGCAGGGCCTTTGCCAGTGGGGGGTTTAACCTCCAAGGCTGCTTCCTTTCTCAGAGGCGGCCCCTGGCTTTCTCCCTCAGGGCCAAACCTCAAGTGAGGGGGCCAAGGCCCTCCCTTCGTACTGCCAGTCGGACGCTCAGGGATGCTTCTCTCCATTGGGGGGGGGGGAATACAGAGATAGAAATGGCCTGGCTTTACAGATGGAGGCCGTTGACTCCGTCATGTTTCCTCTCCGTCCCCGTCTTCTTTTCTTTTGCTTCTGTTAAAGATGGTAAGGAACACTTTGGTAGCAGGAGGTGGTGAAAGACCTCCTCCCCCGGGGTAGGAGACCGTCTTGAAGGGGAAGGCATGCGCTTCTTTCCCCACCAAGTCTCCCAACCCATGAGAACATCCTCACACCCGCTTCTCTTCTCTGAGGAGTACATGGATGTGCGCAGGGTCCTCCCTCCAGTCCCTCTTGAGCCCCGTGGTCTCCTTGCCCTGCTGCTTTCGGCCACCAGGAGTGACCTCTCGGGGACAGCGCCTAGGAGTGAGTTCTTTCTCCTTACCTCAGTCTCTGTCCTCCTCCTCCTCCTCCTCCACTGCAGCGCTACGGGACCAGGCTGTGTGGGAAAGAGCAGGGGGAAGCCTGACGCTTATAAGGGGGCCACTCCAGCTTCTGCTAAGGCAGCCTGCCAGCCAAGAGAGAGAGAGACTCTCCCAGCCCAGCCATTAGCAGGCGTCAAGTTACAAGCGTCTCTTAAAGAAGCCTCCTCCTGTTTTTGACAGGCAGCTGCGTGGCCAGCTGTAGCGAGCGAGCGCAAGTGGGGAAAGGGTGCCTTGTAGGGGTTCTCAAAGCCAAGAGCTTGTTTCAGAGAGAGAGAGAGAAACATGAGAAAAGTGCTTCCAGGATGGAGTTGTGCGGGTTTGTGTGTGTGTGTGTGAGGGAGCAGCTTCAACACACAGCCTTCTCTCTGGACAAAGACACATAATCCATGAGATGCACACATATGGCCTACATGGACAGGTTGTGTAGCACTTAATGCCTTAAAAAGCCCAGCAACCACAACACGGAATCAGGTATTAAAAGAAGAACAACCACCATGGCCTTCTAACCACTCTCTCATCGTCCGCTTGCCGGAAACGGCACATGCGTAGCGGAGTTAAACTGAAGCACTGCACCACTGGCAAGGGTTGTTGGCCTTCTCATTGCCGAGGGTGGATTCCACGTGGATGGGCCAAGTGCTGTGTGGTTGGAGGAGTGAAGTCTCTCCAAGGGAGTGGCACACTTGAGGGCGCTCGGGGCTCCCTCCCTGCGTCGCTCTTTTCACGTAAAACCTTGTGGATTTACTTGGAAACTTGTGTCACTGAAAATGGTAGCCCCGGATGAACCATCAGACTTGTTAGTCCCCTACAGCGAAGCAGCGGAGTGTTCCCTGTGCACCTCAAAGGCAGACCCATTCCCGATGCCACAAACCTCCGTGGCCTCTGGTGACTTGTGTTACCCTCTGATGCCATGAGGTGGAGCCTGGCTGGAGGCGCAGGCCTCTTTGGGGATATAACGTTGCATCGAAGGGAGGAGATCCTTTCAGCCCAGCAGGGTGGGTTTGGGCCAGCGGAACAACACCCTTGTGTCCCACGCGCCAAAGACTCTGGGTGGGGGAGACACAGCCAGACGCTGGGTGGAGTTCTCTGTGAATCCTGGAAGGAGCGCAGCGCCAGTGAAGAGAGGAGCAGAGCTCAGAAGGGGCTCTGCATCTTTGTCACGGGAAAAAACGGCCTCGGTTTTGGGCCAGGTTTTCTCCCTCGGCCACCGAGAAGGGCCTGCCGAACATGGCCGAAGAAGTAGCTTTTCCGGGGCCTCATTCTGAACAGTGTCTGGCCGCGCATTCCTGGAAGGCTTGTGAGGAGACCCCTGTTTGCAACAGACACGCATATGGACACACAGACACTCTGAACCTAGTCTTCAGCCTCCTCCCTCTTGCAGAATACTTGTCTACCTTGCGTGATTTCTTATCCCAGGAACCTAGGAAGCGAGCTGCCTTCCTGCTGAGGCCTTCTGGCCCTGGGCCTCTCTTCGGCCACCGATGCAGCTGTGGCTCTTCAGGGCTGCCAGCCCCACCGGGAGATCCTGGGTTCTCCCTGATGGCCTCTCATCCAGGGACTGCAGCTCCCGGAGGCTGACCGGATACGTCAATTTGTTGTCTTCTGCCCCCAAACCCAAACTAAAAATAATCTCCCACTCTTGACCACTTTCCTTCAAGGGAGGTTCTGGGTTGCTTTCTGCAGCTTTTCCCACCTCTGTGACCCCCCCTCCCCCTATTTCCGAGGCTCAGCCCCTGCCAGCACAGTGGCATCCAAGAGGCAGCTGTTTTATTTCCTGCTTTTTCTCCAAAAAGGCCAACATCAGATATTGTGACTACAGGTGCATAATTTTCTCCGGATGCGTTTCTGCGGCCACTCAGAAGGAGCGGTTTTAGGCTGGGTTTCTTTCAAAGCGGCTGCGACAGGATATGTTAGAGCCTTGTAGCAACGCCTGCTGCTGAGGTGATGTACAGGAAGAAGTCCCCAAAGGGGGTGGCAGAAGGAGGGGAGGTCCTACCACCAGCCCTTTGGTGGGCCTGATCCTGCCACCTCAAATCAGTTCTCTGGAGGCCGTTTTTGAAGCCTCCCTTGATTCTCTCTGCAAGAGACGCAGTTAGGCAGGAAAACAGCAGGAATAAGAAGCCTTTACTCATTTTCCCAGCAAGATAGAAGGGTTATTGCGGATCCAGGGTGGAGGATCTGGATCTTCCCACCCCCACTAAGGAACTCCATTTGCAGAAAGATACAGGGCTCATAGGACTATCCACTGAAGGTTTTATGAACTCAGTACAAAATCACAAGCCATTCCCACAAGGGGCCAACAGGAGAGGCAGCGATTGTGTGGGGGGGGGCGAAAGAGGCGGGTGACTCTTCTTATGCAGCTGCCTAGGCCTCCCTGCCTCCCCCTGGCCATTCAGGGCTTCTCAGAATCTGTAGCGCAGGGCTGCGAAGACTCTCTGCTGTCGGCCGGCGCACAATCCTCCATTTTCCTCTGCTGGGGTGCACTCGGATTGGGGTTACGGATGGTGCCGAGGAAGAGAGGGATGCCGGACACGTCATCAAAGATAAAGAAGGAAAAAGGGCGGTTAAGATGGAAAGCCGAGAGCGAGCGAGACATGGCCACGCTGGTTGCAGCCGACGCCTCCACCCCGGCCTCTGTGAGTTCGACAGCAGCTTGGTGCTGGATGCTGGAGACAAACAGGGGTCCCTCTGCAATGGGACGGAAATTGGGGGCAGAGAACAGTTCCCCCAGACCTGCGGAGAGAGGAGTGGAGCCACGGTCAAGAAGGCTGCTGCTGCTGCTGCCGGTTTTTAGAAGAGGCACGTCACACCAGGCGGCAGAGGCCAAATAACAGGCCAGAAGAGACATTGTTTGCACAGAGCTGTCTAATTAAAAGAAAAAAACACCCTTGAATATATTCATTGGAAGGGTATAATTTGCTGCGGCTTCAGAACTTCAGGAGGTTTCCAGCAGCGTCGGGAGTGAGCGGGTAGAACACAGATTGAGGCTAACTTTTCAGAAGTGGTTTGAACAGGGAGGAAAAGAGTCAGCGTGGAAAGAAGAGGAAGGAGGGGAACAAAGCTGTCTTCACTGGCTCCTGTCATTGTGACGCGCCAGCACTTCTTAAAGGCACGGATTGATAACCAACCTGGAAAGCGTATGGCCGTTTCCCCCACCTCTGATAGGACGGGGCCGTCTCAGTTAAGCAGATAAATATGTAGCACTGTGGGAAACAGGACATCAGGTGTGCCCTCTTCTCACCTCCAGAGCCCAGAAGCACAGGGACTGAAGCAAGAGCCCATCTCACGGAGCGTAAGGAGTAACCCCGTTGGAACAATAAGCAGGCGGATCGCCCTATGCAAAGGAGATCTGTGTAGCCGCGTAGGCTGGCCCACTTCCCGCCTGACCCCTCTCTCACCTAAGTGGCTGAGGGCTTGTTGAAGGTCCAGGTGGTAGCGTAAGTGCAGCTTTGGCATTTTCACCAGGGTGGGCTTCTCCTTGGGGAAAGGGTGGCGGAGGTCGGCCCTGTGGAGCTGGCCGAGCAGCTGGGAGAAGTTCCTCTCAAAGTGGTTAGGGACGACGGCCACAAAACTCGTGTTGCCCTTGAAGGGGAACCTGGCGACCTGGAAGCAGCAGCAGAGGAGAAGTCGGGAGAGAAGGCACAGCACAGCCAAGCGGAAGAGGAGAGGCTGGACCCTTGGGGGAAGCAGGAGAGGACAAGCAGGAAGGAAGACCAGTGGTGCGGGGGGGGGGAGGAGAAGGGAGGGGGGCCTGGAAAAGAGGGTGCCAAAAGGCTCAGGGTGTTTCCCACAGCTAAGGACAGAGCGTGACAGCAGGGGTAAATGAAAGACCCAAACAGTGCACTTTTGAGCCAGCAGGATTGCCCTTGCAGGTCCCGCCCCCTCCTCTCTCTCTCTCTCTCTCTCTCTCTTTCTCTTTCTTTCTTTGCTGTAGGCACTTACCTGGACATCCAGGGAATCCACTGTGAACCAACTCAGGGGGTATACTCGTGCCTTCATCATTTCCACAGAGACCATGAACTCTTCATCCAGGTGGAAGGTGCTCAGCTCAGTCAGGAGGGGGTCGAACTTGGTCTTCCAAAACCCTGCCCCACCCCCGTGAAAAAAATAAATAAAAGGTCAAACACCAGAAAGGGAGAATCAGAGGAAGAAAGAGAGGAGAGAGGTCGCCTGGAAGGCAGAGTTTTGCTTTGCTCCCAAGAGATCGGTCCCTTTAGCTTCCAGCATTTTTGGCACAAGTGGTTGTAAACGACATAATAATCCATAAAATAACAAGAGCAACCGAAAGATACTAGGACAGATCACGACAGGAAGTATTGCCTGTTAATTGACATAATTGCTCTCAGCAATGCCATTATCTTTGCTTGACTTATTCTGAAAACTTTAGGCAACCAATGAATTAAATTTACATCAAGATAGAAATATTTCCAAGGCAAGTAGGAGGCCGCCTTTTCCCCCCCTTGATGCAGTTGGTTGAAGGAGGGGCTGTTTTAGAAGAGGCATCTGAAGAAAGAGGTTTCCTTTAAGGTGGCCATGGCCATCTTCTGCTTGTACAAGTCCATGATGTTATAATGCATTTTATTTTTAAAAAACATTCATTACTTTTATTGCTCACTCACGTTCTATTGACTGGGGCTCCTGTTTCTTGATGAGGAGCAGAAGCACTGAGAAACGCAGCTTCTGACCTGACACAGCCATCCCAGCTCCTCCAAGAGGACCCAGTCCAAGTGTGGCCAGGATGCAACCTCAGCGTGTTTTTTCCAGCCAGACTGATCATCAGATGGGCAGGATGAGAACTCACCTCGGAAATGCACAGCGTTGAGCAGGACCATCACGACACTGGCAGGCAGCTCAGAGAGCATGGAGGGAATTTGCCCATTGGTTGCTTCCTTCACCCAGTTGTTGATGCCTTTTAGGTCGGCCTCGGTGTTTCCGGACAAGGTGGCCGGCTTGGCCCCGTAGAACCTCTCCGAGTCTTCTAGGAATGTCTCTTTGATGGGGAATCCTGGGAGGGGCTCAGCACAATAATCAACAGCTTCTTCAGCAAGTGAGGCTCGGTGTGGCCAGACTGACTCTGCCCCAGAAGATTGACCCAGTGGAGCCTAGTAATTTCCCAATCCGGTGGAGTTAGGAACCCCCCAACACACCGGGTTTAGTTTCTGGGAGAGATTCCAGGCCTCTGAACTCTTCTGCCCAACCCTCTATCACTTTGCGGCGTGTTGTCATCTTCATTTGTGGGCATTTAGCTGCCCCTAATTTGAGAATGACTCCATATCATTTCTCTCTCTCTCTCCCTCTCCCTCCCACCTCCAGCCCTTGATCTTTTGACGGGCAAGACGCCTTGCCAACAGTGTCCTCTCGTTAGCAGTCAAGAGGCCTTGGGCACCTTCAAGATGAACAAGTCTGGTTTAGCATCCGCTTCTGGGGACTCAGGGCAATTGCCTTAGAGGCCCCTGAAAAGGTCTACATACGTAGGGGCTGCAGGCTCCCAGGGGCCTTGGGGACTAACGCAGTGGGCTACAGCTCCGGGACATCATCCTCTTGAAATAGTTCATTTCTAGGGCTTGTTTTGTTCTTCTCTCTCTCTCTCCTCCCCCTGGCCCCTCTCTTCCTTCCTCCCTCTCTGTGATGAAACTAGGGCTCACAGTACCAAAGGATGAGAATATCTCATTATTAGGGCAATCATATAAATCTCTCTCTCTCTCTCTCCTGTTCCTGGAGTGTGTGGGAGAGGAGGTGGGTTTTCCCGGTAAGGATGGATTGTTGCAAGCTACACCTTTGTAATGCGGAGTATCCTGAGGGGTCTTGCATGAGCCCTTAAAATGCATTGGTCTTACCAAGACCAGCTCTTGGTGCAGAGGAAAGGGGCCGATCCACATCGGGACCTGCTGGTTCAAACCGTACTGGTGTGCACAGCATGGGCGGCAACAGAAAACCACCCTCCTCCCTGCCATCTGAATCCAGATTGGCCCCAGGAGTTGCTCTTTGTGGAGGGAGGTGCCGCCACTCAGCTCCGCCATCCCACCCAGTTCAGCCATGAGCCTCGGGCACGGAAGCACCCATAATACTTCCGCTTGTACAAGGACTGGCCTATTTCACCGCCACTCCCCTGCCCAAACCTGTCACCTTTTTTCAGGTAGAGCCGGCCAGCTAAGCTGAGGGCCGTGTTTCTGAGATGCTGGGAAATCCTGCGCAGGGCCTGGTGGAGGCAAGGCACCGACTCGGCGTGCAGCGCCCCCAGCAGCTGCTTCTCCGTCTGGTTCGCCGCTCCTGAAAGAGAGCCACAAGAGGGGCTGAAGACCTGTCGGGACCTGCGTTTGGGCCGTCGTTCACTAAAGCTTCTCTCGCCTAGCAGTCAGCCCAACCTTGGAAGCTGGACTTCCACGGTGTATCCTGGAGGGAAGGTTTTGAAAGAAGCCACCGTCCTTCCCTCCTGGCATCAGCCACTGAAGCCCAGCAGTCGATGGCTGTGGCCGGCTGCTGCCTCAAGATACCCCACCCGCTGGGGCCGCAGAGAGTCAGAAGCGACCGGACGGCCCGGAAGAAGGGGAAGAGCCCGGAGTGCTTGCCTCGAAGGGCTGTGAAACAGGCCGAGGTGGCCTTCGCCCTTCCCCGCTCCAGAAGCCGGACCTGCTGAGGCTGTGAGCTCCAGCGCGGTCTCCCCTTTGGATCCGGTCCAAAGAAGAGGGGCTGGCCTCGGCCATGCCGCCTCAGAGGACTGGGGCATCTACTGACCTAGAGAGAGGTGGGCCAGGGCCAGGCTGACGCTGAGGGGAGAGAAGAAGAGGTTGCCGTGGGGGTCCTCCAGCTCCATCTCTTTCAGGAGATCGGTCCCCAGCCTCAGCATGCCCTGAGCTATCTGGGCCATCCTCTCGGGGGGGATGTCCCGGTCACAGCCTGTCCCGCCGGGGACGCCCTCCATGGCCTCGGAAGAGTTTTGGGGCAACCCTTGCCCGTCAGGGGTCCCGTTGGCAGCCGCCGAAGCCTCGCCCCCTGCAGTGGGTGCCTCGCTGGAGACATTGGGGGGCAGCCCCACGGAGCCCAGCATGTTCTCTTGGGGCTCGGGCTCCAACCCAGGGGCGGCCTGGAGTGGCTCTGGGCTGGGCAGGATAAGATCCTTTTCTGCGGGCTCGTCCCCAACGAGGTCCTGAGAAGAGAAAGGGAGGCTTGGAGGCAGAAGAGGAGGCGAAGGGGAGAAGCCAGCCGTGCCCAGCCCCACTCCCGCCACGTCCCTGCCAGTATGGTCCATCTCGGGGGGCCTCCTCCAGCACATATCCATACTCAGCCCCCCACACACACACCCACCCTGGCGCTGCCGTCGAGAGGTGGCAGGGGGGAAGGCAGAGCCAACTCTGCAGGAAAGCCCAGCAGGTGGAGGATGCCAAAGGCCGGCTCTGCGTGCCTGAGGTGCCCGGTTCAGCCTTCCAGGTAAAAAGTATCTTGTGTGGCAATGAGTCCCATACACTAACTCTGTGCGTTAGGAAGAAGCCCAACTCCTCTTCCACTGGGCTGGGTCGTCCTGTGGTTTCTAGCTCTATCCAAGAGGGAGAAAACCTCTCTCCCCGCCCCTCCCCGTTCCCTGTGCCGGGCTTAGTTCAAGGTGCCTCTCTCTTTCTCTCACCCTCCTTACTTGTATTCCCCCCCCATAAAGCTGCAGATGACGGGACGGTCCCCCAAAAGGTCCCGCTTCCCATCCCATGAGACGGTGCTTTCCTGCCTCTTGTCCTGCTCCGCCTTATCGGCCTGGACTCGATGTGGGGACCTGGGCTGTAAAGGCACCTTCCCAGCATGGCCTCCCCACAGGCAGTGACTGAGAGGGGCGGTTTTATGCGCAGAATTTGCCTTTTATGGAGCCGCCGTGGGGTTCTCCGTGAGCGCCCCACTTTGCTCACGGAGCAAGAAGAAAACGAGGCCCAGGGTGTTCCACCTCTTCTTACCAGGAGGATGTTCTTTTGAGCCCCTTCTTCTGACTCCAGGGCGGACACACACGGCACCTGAAAAAGATCCAGCCAGGCTGAGCTCCGGGGGGGGGGAGCCCACGGTGGCCAGGGGGGGTGTTCCTCACTTTCTCTCTGTGCCCAAGTGCGAGTGATGTTTGCAAAGGGGGAGGGCACCAGGAACCCAGCCCTCCCCTCCCTCCAGGCCACACACCACCTTCCCGAGGGAGCCAGCCTGGGTCTTCTGGAGGGAAAGGCCTGGGGACACAATGTCCACGCACCCCCCCACCCCCACCCCCACCACGAAATCCCAAGGACTTCACTGCCTCCCTGCGTGGCTGGATGCAGTGGGAACGAGGCTTGCAGCCAGAACAGCCGCCCGGCTGCAAAGGGCAAACATCTGCCCCTTTTCTTGGATGCCTCCCTCCCTCTGGCCCTGGAAAGAAGCTCTTCCGAGGAGGACAAGCCAGCCTTGGCGGGCCTTGTCCTGTGCTCTTCCTTCCCGGGCCCACCAGGAGGGAGAAAGCGCTGGGGAGGCAACGTTTGGCGGAAGCCCGCGGCCACTTACCCCGTGGCGTGTGACCTGCAACACGGGCAGGCAGAGGAGCAGCAGCTGCAGCACCACTGGGGGTAGGGGGGCCATGTTTGAGTGGTCGGAGCAGGGTGGGGCGAAGGCCTGCTGCTGCTGGGGGGGGGAAGAGAAGACAAGCCTTGGAGGCACCAGGTGTGTGTGTGGGGGGGTGTCCCCTATGAAGAAGCCCCAGCCTCTCCAGGGAGGGCCAGTGGTGGGAAGCAGAGGAAGACCCCCCCCACACACACACACATGTGTATAATCCTCCCCGGCCACCATGGAGCCCCAGCTTGCCCTTTGTGGGTTTAGGCCGCCCCCCAAAAGACCAGGTGCCTTCTCTCCCCCACCCCAATCCCTCTGCCATCTCAGGCTTCCCTGCCCTTCTCCCCTCTGCCCTGATCCTCCATTTTCACCTTAGTCCTTGGAGTGGTGGTTCTCCCTTGGCCACCGATGCCTCCACCGCTGCCACCCACTCTGGCTCCGGGGGGGGGGAGCGGAAGTGGCCCCTGAGCCTCACTAAGACCAACCTGTAGTAGCTGCGCCTCTTTGTGCAACGCTCCCCTCTCTCTGTGGGCAAATATTGACTTTCCACATCTAGTTAAACATTTGTCCGGGAACTGTGGGCCCAGGGTGGGTGGGTGGAACACAGTGGCTACTCCACCTCCCCCGTCTTTTAAAACATAACAAAACCCCAAGAGTCCCCCTCCCTCTCTCCCTGGAATGGAGAAAAGATAAATGGTATATTGGGGGGGGGGCAGTCACAGCCTCCAAGAAGCCTGAGCGCCAGTCACTGAAGTGGAGAGGGGGTTGTGGTTTTTTTTTGGGGGGGGGAGTGTTCTCCGAATCCCTCTGCCACGCCGTGGCCAGCGTGGTCCTACTTGCTGGAAGAGGCCGGAGAAGGGAGCTTCTGCAAGCGCTTCTCCTTTGCACCTTCATGGCCGGGCATTTCCTCCGGAAGCAGGCGGTGACAGGTTGGGAATACTTTGGAGAGAGAGAGAGAAAAAGTGCTGGAAAAGGCTGTCGGTGGCCAGGCCGGGGAAGCCGCCAAAAGCTCTCAAGGCCTTTATTTGTCCCAGTTCTTTGCTGCCCGGAAGTTGGGGCTGAATGTGGTTTTCAGCTCCCGGGTTACCTTCATGTGGGGGGCACCGTAGCACCCCTGGCTGTGGGCCGCCGGCCTCTCCACAAGGTTCTCTAGCAAAGGAGAGGCGCCCACCCACCAGCCCTTCCCCAGGTGGCAGGGGTGCTCACTGCCCGAGGGTGGCTGGCCATAGGTGGACAGGCCTTGGGCCCCCATGCATCGGCCCATGTGTTCCCACGGGGGCGCTTGGTCGGCTCCAGGGCCACCTCGGACGGTCAGCAGGAGAGGCCCTCCGTCGCAGGCGGCCAAAGAACACGGGTCCTGCATCGGAGGAGCAGGATGTCTGCTGCCCCCCTTTCCTACGTTGCCATCCACTACCTCTGAAGGCAGGCGGATGGACGGACGGGAGGCCCTGCTGCTGGGGAAGTGGAGCAGCCTGGGGGAGGGGGCTGAGGAGCAGCCAGGTCCCTTTGGGGCAGCCTTTCACGGGTCCCTTCGACTTTTTCAGGAAGGCAGTGGCCTGGCTGGGCAGGAGTGTCCTTTGAGGAGAGGAGGCGCTTTTTACCTCCCGGGTCGGCCCTCCAGGCCTTCCCGAGGCTCCTTTGCATGGCAAGTGCCCTTCTGCTCCATCAGCTCCCTGTGAACCCCTGCGGTGAGGAGGAGGAGGAGGAGGGCGGGGGAAGAAGCCAGAGGTCAGTGCCGTCTTCTGGTTTTCCATCTTCTTCTTTGGGGCAGACCCCACCACTCCCAGACCCCTCTCCAGGGTCCTCTCACTGGTTTCGCACTCCCTGCGTGGTGTCTGCCTCTTTTCTGTGAGAGAAAGCCAGCAAGGGGAGGCTGCCTGGCCCCACAGTCACCTCAGGCCTCTTTTGGGCAACGGGCACCTGTGCCTGCTAGCCAGAGGCTGACGTGCCTGGTGTCCAAAGTGGGGTTTTGCACCCCAGCTCGGGTAGAGGGGCAGCAGACCACGTGCCCCCCCCCGCGTCCGTGGCTTGGGCTTCTCCTCCAGCCTCATGTTTCCCTTTGAGCTTTTTGGTCCTCTGCGTTTCCCACCCCACCCCACTTAACACACAGCCCTTCATGGCTGTCCCCTCCACAGGACGCCCTGAGAAACAAAGCAAGCTCCTCCCCCAGTTTGCCCCCCCCAAGAGACACCCCTCAGAAGCTTCAGAGTGTTTATTAGCATAATTGTATACGTTATATCATCTATTGCCATCGGTTTGTCATCCAGGAGGATCTCCTCCTGAACCCAGGAAAGAAGACACAAGTGCTTCCATATTTGAACCTCTCCCTGTCCCACCCTCTTACAGAAGGGGACGAGACCCTCCCCAGGGGAGCACTGAAGAGGGGACGTGGCTCCCCAGAACATTAAAGGACAGGACCGCTGGGGGGGGGAGGAGGAGTGTCCCTACTCTGGAACAGATGCCTTGGGGAAATTCCCCAGGGTTCCCAAAAAGAGTGAGGCACATAAGGTGATGGGGGGGGTCAGGACCTTTGGCTGCCCAGCAGCCCTCTTAGGGGCAAAGGGGAGGAGGCTCCCTGCTCCTTCCCCCTCAGTCCCAGGCAATGCCTAGTCTCCTGCCTCCCTCGCAACGCAAAAGGGGACTCCCTCGGCTCGCCAGCATCCCTGGGAAGAAAAGCCTCAAGCCAGGAGCCGGACGGTGCCGTTGTCCGACCCCAGGAGGAGGTGGCACTTTGTGGGCAGGACAGCTAGGCTGGTGAGGGTCCCTCGGAAGTTCTCTGAGCTCAGCTTGGTGACGCTGGGGGGAAGCGGGTCCTGAAGGGCATAGACGCCGATCCGGTTGGCCACGGTGCTGGCCACCATCTCGCTGCCGTAGAGGTCGAAGGCGTGGACCGGCTCCGAGGCCGACCTGTAGCTCTGCAGGGGCTTCTGCTCTAGTTCCTTCCAGACGGTCAAGGTGTGGTCCGAGGAGGAGCTGATGAGAAGGTTGCCCTCCGTGGCCTGAGGGGGGAAGGGGGGCATGTGTTAGAGGGAGAGGGAGGGACACTCTGCCTGCCCCACGGGAGCCCTAGCAGTGGGCAGAGGGTCCTCCAGGAAACCTGCTGGGCTGCAGACCGGCGGAGGCCACGTGCGCCGCTCCCCAAGCGGCCTGAGCCCACAGATGCTCAGTGGGGAGGAAAAAGGCTCTCTGGACATGCCTCAAAGCCCCCGTGGCAGGTCCCTGGGGCTTTTGGTACCTTTCTCAGGATAGGTTCGGCTTTGTGGTGGCCCCAACCCTAGCCAAGGTGGGCTGGGCCGCCTGCAGGGCGTGTGGTTCTCTGACCCTGGCACTTCACCCATGGCCAAAGCAGAGCCACCTCTGCCCCATGGCCAGAACAGGGAAGAAGCTCACTGTCACGATGGGCAGTTGGTGTGCCCTCCACGCACACACCCCATGCCCAGGTATGGGATCCTTTTAGGACGGTGGTGTGTGTCTTTTGAAGGAGAATTGCCCACGTCCAGCTGGGACGTGGAGCCTTGATCCGTGGCCAAGGGCCTCCCATGAGCAGGGCAAGTGTGAGCGGTCCTGGGTGAAGGACACGGGGAGCAGCCCCTTGCCCCGCTCAGGGGCAGGCAAACACGGAGAAGGGTTACTCATTAGGACCGCCAGCCACCGCAGTGCACACATGTGCCCCCCTTGCCCGCCCCTGTCATGGGAGACCTTTGCCCCCCCACCCACGCCTGGGCATCTGCTGGCTCACCAAACAGATTTCCAAAGAAAAAGCCCCACACAGGCCAGTCTCAGCTGCCCACAGCAGCAGCAGCAGCAGCATCCACTTAGGGGGTGACTCGCTTCGAGTCCTCCCTCGTGGGGCTACAGCCTTTCCCTTGGTTTTTAAGCCAATGGTGTGCTACACTGACCAAGTACGTATTTTGAAAGTCTAGGGAAAGAACCCTGCTCAGAGGCAGCCCCACCCACCCACCCGGCTGTACCTTCGGAAGAGGACAGTAGGGTTTTATCCAAAGAGCCTCACTGCTGTTAGAGGTCAAGTGGAGAAGTTAAGCGAGGCTTCAAGATCCTGTTGCTGGAAGGGACCTCAGGGCTCCCCCAGGCCAGCCCCCAGCCGGAGGAGCAGATGAGGCCTCAGAGACACGCCATTTGAGCTCCTCGGTCCGCCTGGCCCAGCTGGGCTCCTCACCTTGACCTGCAAGATGTCCCCCTCATGCGCAGGCCACCCTCTCAAGACGAGGCCCGTCCTGGTATCCAGCAGGACCATGAAGCCGGAGGAGAAGCCAGCCACGATGCTCCGCCCGCTGGGACTGACGGCCAGGCAGCGGATGAGGCCGGCGTTCGTCCCGCTGGCCAGCCGGAATTCGTGCTATGGGCAGGAAGAGAGAAGAGGGTGGCTGGGAGGGGGGGGACTGCCTGCCCGCCCGCCCCTGGCCAGCCGGAATTCGTGCTATGGGCAGGAAGAGAGAAGAGGGTGGCTGGGAGGGTGGGGGACTGCCTGCCCCTGGCCCTCTTCCTCCTTCCCAACCTTGCCTCCCTGCGGCAGACGGGTCAGACCTGCCAGGCGGGGCCGTTCTCCCGTGGAGCTGGGAGAAGACACGTCTCTTCAGACCCTTGTCAGCCGGCAACCCTGACGGGGTCACCCATCCGGCCAGATGGTGTTTCATGGCAAACTGGGGATTTGAACCTGGGTTTGCCACAGCGTGGCGATGCTACTCAGCTTGGAACTGAACCTGGGGCCTTTGGCAGACCGAGGGGAGGCCCTCTCTCCCACTGAGCTGGAACCCGGCCCTTCACGGCTGGAGCCCACAGAACCACCAAATACCTGCAGCCCCGCCTTCCGGTAGTCAACGAAGCGCAGCACAGAGTCAGCGTTGGCCATGCAGATGCTGCCGTACGGGGCGGGCATGGCGCTCACGGCGGTGATGGGCACTTTGGAATCCGGCGGCTCAAAAACACGGACGACTCTGCCTGTAGAGGAGGGCCAAACACCGCACCCCCACCCCCAGGGAGACTCATGAGCACGTTGCACCAGGAGACGCGGCTCCCCTCTCACTTCTAGGCTCCAGCTGCCTGAACCGTAAAGCCCCATGATGGTGTTTACCCCACAGATCAGCTCCCCCTCAGCCCCCTCAGCCCCCTTCAGCCGCCTCCTGGCCACATTGCTCTTCTCTGCTCACCTCCAGAGACACGGCACATTCCCCTCTGGGCTTCTGGACCAGGAGATGGGGGCCACGGGGGCTTGTCTGTGTGGGCTTGAAGGAAGACCGAACTCCCCACCCTCACCTACACAGGTCCACACAAGGCCTCGTGCTCTGCGCCTCTTTCTGGAGAGAGGAAGGTCCATCCTGGCCTGTCCCCCTCCTGCCTCCCTGTGGGCCCAGCCGGGTGTTTCCGCTGCTGCCTTCGGCAGGCCTGACTTACCTGTGAAAGGGTCCCAGACGTGGACGGTGCTGTCGCAACTGACCACGTGCTGCGGTGCTTCCAGCATGCCGACGTAGAAGACCGACTTCTTGTGCTGAGCGTAGGTCAGGCGGGGCTCCGCCTCATGGGTTCCGTCCCCCTGGTTGTAGAGGGGCCAGAGGCGCACGGTTTTGTCCTTGCTGCCGCTCAGGAAGAAGTCCTCCCCGCTGAGGGGGGCCACGCACTTGATGGCTCCCCCGTGGCCCACGAAGCTCTGCAGCTTGATCTGGTGGAAGTGGAAGCGGGCGTCGTGCTGGCTGACCCCGATCTCGTACTGCCAGTAGGCCAGCCAATTCCCACACAGGAGGTGGGGGCTGCGCAGGAGGTCTTGCTTCAAAGCATTCCCCTCCCAGCTCTCTGGGGTAGGGCAGAAGCCGCTCGGACTGCCAGAGACCTCCTGCCGGGCGGCCGCGGGCACCTGGATCCGGTTGCCCACCAGCACGCTCCCAAACGTGCCCGAGTGCGTGTCCTCCGAAGGGCCCAACGGCGCCTCCGTGCCCAGCGCGTCTTGCTCTGAGGAAGGCCGGCTGCCTGAGCCGGCTGCGTCCAGGGCCCGAGGGGTCACGCTGTCCAGGTGAAGAGCTGCCAGCTGGCCCACTGCGGTGTGGTTTGGGATAAGAGCGTGGATAACGTCACCTGTGGGGGGGGGGTTAAAAACAGCCTGTTTGGGCCTGGAGGCACAGCAAGCAAAGCCCAGTGGCTCAGGGTTCCCCCCCCCGCTAAGCACAGCCAAGTCAAGGCATAAGAAACGCTGCCACACTGGGGGCTTTTTAGCCGAGAGTGGGGGGAGGGATGTGCAGCCTAGTAGGTTTTGCAAGATTGTGACACACATCATCCTCCATCACGGGCCAAGCCGGCTGGGGCCGCTGGCACTTGATATCCGACAGCATCTGGCAGGGTAACTGTTCCCCATTCCTGATCAGTTTGTGTTTTGTACTGCAGAGTGATACAAGCCAACAAAATTATGGACAGAAAAAAATTAAGCAAGGGGTCTTGGATATTAGAGCTCAGGGTTACCAAGTCAAATCAACAGACAGGGGGGAAAACAGGATAGTTCCCCACAACAAAATTAAGGTATGCAATTCCCTAGTTGGTGAACAAGCTGAGCTGTTTTTCTGGGGACAAGAGAAACTCCAGAAGGGGAAGAAAGAAAGAAATCCATGGCTTATTGCCAGGTCCGTGGTAAACCCACTGGCTTCTTTCTTCCCTTTCTGGAAGCAGTAAAAGCTGAAATAAGTGGGGGGAAAAGCCATTTATGAGGTAGTTTTAGGATAGTAACTGGTGGTGATGGAAATTTGTATAGATTAGATCCCAGTTCTTCGGGGACGGGGTGAGAAAGAGATAGTTTAGCTCCTACCTAGCAAGCAAGAGAAGGGCACGAAGGTGATGTAAGCCATTTCCGGACTGAACACTTTCTGCAGCTCCAGAACAGCAGATGATGGCTCTGAGGGCAGCCACTTTGGGTGGCCGGCCGTGGTGGGGGTGGTGGGCGGCTGCAGCGGCGGTGTTGTCCCCTGGGTGGACGGAAAGGAAAGGGGGGCCAGTCACACACCAGCCTCTCTTCACCTGGGCACTCTCAGCCCCGGCAGCTTCCACCTCGGACACTCAGGAGGTGCAAGGTGGCCTGGTTCTGGGCCAGCTGAACTTTCCAGAAGGCTTTCTGTGCACATGGGTGAAAGGCACCAGGGCCTTTGTGCCACCTAGGGTTTTGCATCTCCTCAGCTTCCATCAGACCTAGCGCCACGCCACCACGTGCCCACAACATGCATAGCCCACACAGAGGGAGGAGGTGCTCCAGGGAGACAGCGTCCCCCGGCTGACTTTGCGAAGAAATGAATGAAGACGGCTCTGCTTTTGTCGGAGGCTCCAGGTCTGATCCCAGGACCTTCCAGACAGAAGCTGGAGGAAGAGGAGCCACCACCGAAGCCCGAGGCTCTTCCACCGCCCTCCCCTGAGACGAAGCAAGAACCCCTTTCCTCCTCAGTCTTGCCGACTCACCTGCTCCGGTGGCGGAGGCAGTGATGAAAAGGTATCAAAGAAGCTCCTCAGCGTCTCGCTCAGGTGCTGGTGCACCATCTCGGCTCCGATCCGCAAGCAAACCAGCGCCACGAGGCTGATGGTCTTGAGACACAGGACGGCGCGAGCCTGGACACCGCTGGGGAAGCTGGAGAAGGGACAATGACCATCAGCCCCTGACCCTATCCTGTGCCTCTCCACTGGAATAACCATGAAGTTTCTCCTTGGGCATGTGTGCGCACAAACACAACCCCCCCATGCCCCCCCCGGGGCCGGCCTCTTCTGCACAGAGAACAGAAACCCAAGAGCATTCTGAAAAGTGAATCCTCTTCCACCTCACCCCACAAAGTCACCTGATCACAGGTGACGTAAGGAAGCTGAGAACCGGCAGCAAGACCTCCTGGCTGATTTTAGGCAGGATGTCCATGAGGGTGGTGTCCGAGAGGAAGACGACCATCTTCTGAGTGAGCGTCACGGCGGCCATCAGCCCAGCTTCCTTCCGGCTGTTCAGCCGGCCAGCGGACGCTCCGCTGCCAGGAGCCACCTGGAGTAAAGAGAAGGGCCATCTGTCGGCTGCTTGGCCTGCAGGAGGCCCCGGGCTTCCTCCTCCCCAGCATTTCTAGGAGGAGAGAAGCCCTGGGGTCTGCAGGAGGTGGAGCAGTGGGTGCAGGTTAGCCTCTCTGAACCTCCCAGCCAGCGGCCTCTCATCTGCTCTTCCTTCCCCAGAAGCCTCCTTCCCCCCCCCCCAGAAGAGAGGGGAGAAGGCCTGCTTGCTTTTCTCACTTCGGAGACCATGACCTTCCTTGGGTGGAAAAATCTGAAAATGGGGAAATGTACAAAAGGGAAGTCGAAAGAAGAGGCTGCTGAGAGAAAGCCCCCTCCCCCCTTGAGGGCCTCTTCGTGCCCTGTGGCGCGTGCGTGCCAGTTAGCCAGTCTCTCCTTTTTGACAAAATGTTTCCTCACAGGAAGAAATGAAACTCTCCGTCTGGCCATGCCCATCGGGCCCACAGCAGCCCCAAACCCTGCTCCAAGCTCAGCCCACCACCTCAAGGCTCTTTGTCCTGTCCACTCCCCCCACAACTGACCAGTCCCATTCCAGCCTCTGTGTGTGTGTGTGTGTGCAAGGATTGCTGGCCAGCCCCCTGGGGGGGAGGGAGAGGGAGCCTCGGCTAGTTGGTTTTAAGGGAGGGAACGGAGAACAGCGCCCCCCATAAAAACAAGCAAGAGGTGGCGTCACACCCTGGTTTAAACAACAAAAGAGAGTGGCCAGATTTCCAGGAGGAGCCCTTTTTCTAAGACTTCTTGAGACCTGGTGAATAACAGCAAGCTGTGAATATTCTGCTTAGCCCCCCACCCCCACCCCCGGGCAAACGGCTGTTTGGTCTGAATTTGATTCCTCATCGGAAGCATACTGCATAATCCATTTCCTCTTCCTGCTTCCATGCCTGGCCTTTGAGCTTCCAAGGGGTTTCCAGAGACTGCCAACGTGCAGTGGAAATTATCTTGGAAACCATGAGGGCTAGGCACTTGAGAGGGGCTTTCTTAGGGCCTGTGGGTTTGATTGCCAGATTGATAGTAAAGGAACGCTCCAGTTCTCCAGTTGCTAACCTTCTGTACTGGAGACAAAACCCCTGTGTCCGTACAGTGTGAAGACTGGAGCGCAGCCCCAACCCCATCTGAGAAGAGCCTCGGAGCGGAGGGCAAAGAGGCGGCCCCTGCACAAGGGAAGGGACTGGGGCCGGGCAAGCTCAGCCAGGAGAAGGTAAGCCAGCCCGAAGGCCCGTCACCCAGCAGGTCCCCCGTGTGCCCCAGACAGCAGGGGTGACTCACCAGGTAGCTGACGTAAGGCAGGTACAGGTACGTCAGGACGGGCTCTCCATACAGGTGTGCGATATGGGTGAGGCAGGCCAGCACCGGCTCCGACACCACGTCCCCCAGCACCAGCCGCTTCTGGTAGATGCTCCTGGAACCCAAGGGGCCCGTCTCTTCAGCGCCGGCCACGTACTGCTGCCGGGCAGGACCTGTCCAGGGAGAAGTCCCGGTTGTAGAGAGCAAGAGGGATGGGAAAGGGGCCCTGGCCTCTCCTGCCCTTCCTCCAAGCCCACCTCGGTGTCCCTGCCCCCGGAGGCAGCTGCCCATCAGGCTCCTTCCTGCCCGTCCAGGCTTTATTACCTACGTAGCAAGAGGTCAGCAACCGAAGGAGGTTCCGGGCAACGTAGCGGGAGGTGGTGGTGGGGCCCAGTTTGGCCGACAGCCACTTCACCATTTTGCAGGCTGTGTCTGGGGAGACAAGAAGGAGGCAGGCATGGGTGATGGATGATAAGGCAGCGCTGTGGCCGCCCACGCCCCACAGAGAAAATGCTCCTTCTAAAGTCCCTCCCTGGGGCTTCTTCTCCCTTGGTTCCAAGCCCCCACGCCCCTCCCTAGCTTCCCTCTTTGGGGATCAGAATCGGGGGCGGCCATGTTTGGGCGGCCATGGTTTTAAGGGCTCCTCACCTAGCAAGACGGTCTGTTCCCTCTCTCCCTGCTGGTGGTATTGCTGCCCCGGCAGGCCTGGTCCGCCCCCTGCTTCTCCCTCTGGCTCCCTGCCGAGGTCTCCTTTCTCGTCCTCCTCCTCCTCTTTAGCCAGGCTGGCTTCCATGGAGCCAGCGATGGCCACCGACAGTGTGGACTCCTCTGTGACCGGGGTAGTGGCGTTGGGCTGTTCTGCCCCGTTCGGCACCCCCTCCCCCAGCTCCTCTTCCTCCTCCTCTTCCACTTCTCTTTCTCCTGTTCCTTCTCTTCCTCCCTTCTCCTCGTCTTCCTCCTCCTCGTCTTCCTCCTCGCTGGGCTTCAGATCTTGGCTGCTGAGGCTGGCCTTGTCCTTCTGCTCGTCACCCAGAGACACCTCGCTGGCGCTGCTCTTGTCGCTGAGGTGGCCCAGACTCAGGGACTCCTCCTCCTCGGGAGGCTCCTGCGGGGCCTCTGCCACATAGAGGTGGTTCTGGAAGTCCTCGCCTTCTGGGAGGTAGGCCTGGTCGTGCAGGCTGACCCCAGACAGGTAGTCCAGCAGCTCCAGCCCCACAGAGGAGCCTCGCTCAGCCTCCCCTTTGGCCTCCTCCCTGAAGGCGGCGCAGGCACCGGGGCTGCTCCTGTCGCCCTCTTCCTCCTCCTCTGCGGCGCCCAGCAGCAGGGCCTTGCTCTCCTCCTGGGCCGATCCCTCCAGCCCTACCAGGACCTGCAGGATGTGGGGCAGCAGGTTGGAGAGGAACAGCGGCAGCCCCAGCCGGGCCATCAGCTGAGCCACAAAGCACTCCGTGTAGAGGTAGAAGCGGCTGTGGAGGTTGCGCGGGTTTTCGTAGGCGGCGCTCAGGAGCTTCAGCAGGTACTTGTTGGTGTTGCGGGGGCCCAGGGCCTTGGCGATGGGCTCAAAGAGGTACCAGGCGGCATGGACAGCCGTCCGCTCCTCCGACATCAGCGCCAAGACGAAGGGCAGCAGGATCTCCAGGCCCTCAGGGGTGATGTCGCTCAGCACCCCTGCCAGCTGCTGCCAAAGCTGGAAGACCAGCTCCCGCCCTTGTCCCTCGTCCTCCACCCGCCCAGACAAGTAGGAGAAGATGAACTTGTGCAGGGAAGGGAAGTAGCTGGGGAAAGGCAGGACAGCGCTGAAGGGGCTCAGCAGCTGGGAGGGGCAGGGCGGGGGCAGCCCCTGCCAGACGGGCTCGTAGTCGAAAAGCTGCACCCTCCCGTACTGGCCTGGTGTCAGGAGCTGGCCTTCGGGCACCCTCAGCTGCAGCAGGACTTCCAGGAGGTGTTGGAGGGGAGGCGGGATCTCCTTGGGGAAGGACCGGCAAAGCCTCCGGGCCACCTGGAAGCGTTCCCGGAGCGTTGCCCCCGGCTTCGAGGTGCGCAACTTGGGGGCAAAGACGATCTCGGCCACCACGACCCCAAGAGCCTGCATGTCCCTCTGGAAGAAGTCGTCAGAGAGCGTTGGGGGTGCCTCGGGCGGGGGCAGGGCCGGCCGGCCAGCTGTGCCATGCAGCGCCTTCAGCAGGAAGGCGTCCAGCCTCTCAAGGTCCTCCATGGCCTGCAGCGAATGGCTGCCCTCCGGGAGTATGATCTTGGCCTCCCCTCCCTCCAGGCAGGCCGCCCCAGCAGGGGTCGTCACCTTCCGGCTGAGGGCCCTGCCCTCAGCCGGGAGGGCTGGCAGCTGCAGGTGGGTGTGGGGACTGGGCAGCTCCACCAGTCCCCGGTTGCCGGCTGCGGGAAGGGCCTCCAAGGCTTCAGCCCCTTGTTCCACCTCTTCCTCTGCACTTGCCCCAAACTGGCCAGCAGCCCAGCTCCCATCGCAAGGCGCAGCCTCGGCCACTGGCCCACCGTTGGCCAGCTGGCCCTTGGTGTCCTCTAGGACCCTCGTCTCCCGGACGGCGGGGATGAGAGGCCTCGTGATCAGGGGGGCCTTGGCAGGAAGGAGGGCAGCCGCTGCCAAGCGTCTGGGGTGGGGCTGGTCAAAGAGCTGCACCACCCCATAGCTGGCAAGGTGGGTGTGGTTGTCCACCAGGTGGAGGCAGACGTTCTTCTCCCTGATGGCCTCCTTGCCCGCCAACTTGTAGCCAAAGGTCAGGTCAATCCAGTGGTGGAGGTCCTGAGAGACCTCCCAGCTCTCCAGCAGGGCCCGGTGGGCGGCCACAAACTCCTCGCAGGAGCCGTACCAAGCGGGCACCTCCAGGTCGGGCATGTCCGGGTGGATGGACTTGAAGATGACAGGGTCCGAGTAGAACTCTGGGATGCACTCATCCGGCGTCCAGAGCTGCAGGCGTTCCATGTTGGCGGGGTATTCGTTGGGCTCCCATTGGGACCGGACGTGGGCACACAGCACCGCCTTGGGCGTACGCCGAGCTGTGTAGACGTAGTAGGTGATGTCAGAGAGGACATCAGAGATGTGGTGAGGCACGTGTGGCTGCTCGCCCCCGGCCAGACCCCCTCCGGCCACAAAGGCCTGCTTGGTCATCTCGTAGGTAAAGTCCAGCTGCTTGTCTCCCTTGTTGAGGCGGAACTTGGATTTGCGCAGGTCCCGGAACCTGCCATTCTTGGCTGTGAAATCTACCACCCAAGGGAGCACAGGGTGGTAATTGGGGTCCCCCACCCGCCGGCCGGCCAAGCGGTTCAGGTGCATGAGATAATCAAAGTTGCTCAGGCGGCCATTCACCCAGTCCAGCACCAGGTCCCCCAGAGCCTCCCCGGACTCGCTCCCCCTCCCAGCACCACCTACTGCTGCCGGGGCTGGGCTGGCGTCCCCAGCGGCTTCTGCCCCGTCGGCTGGTCCCTCTTCTTCTAGCACTTGCTCGTAATCTTGGAGGTGAACCCGCAGCTGGGCACACAGCTTCTCATCCACCCCCACCTCATGCAGAGAGAAAGCGCCGCAGGCCAAGCCGGCCCGATGGCATGACTGCATGGCCTGCAGGACCTGGAAGAGGATGAAGAGGAGCTTGGCGTGGCTGTTGGTCAGCTTGGCGGGGCTGAAGGTGACAATGTCGTGGAGGCAGTACTGGGTGTAGGGGAAGAGGACGTAGAGCATCGCTGGGGACTCCAGCAGCGCCTCTGCCGGCAGGACGCTGGGGCAGGGCAGGGCGGCCTTCCCGGAGAAGGAGGAACCTTCTTTGGCTGGAGAGCCGCCGCCACCGCCGCAGGGAGCCCCCCTCCCAGCTGGGACAACGGGGCAGCTGTAGAGCTTCTGCAGGGCTCCGCGCAGCACATCCAAGGCCAGGGCGGTGTGGGAGGTGTGCGTGTAGCAATAGGGCTGGACGTACAAGCGGTGCGCCCGCTTCCACAAATTCCGGTAGTTCTGGGAAGCCACCGTACGCATGAACCCGTGGAGCGTTTCCCGGCCTTCCTTGGGCTCACCCTGCACCCCAGAGCTGGTGGCCAGTGGGTAGCGCAGCCGGTCCTTCCTCAGGCTGTGGACTTCCACGCGAGTCCAGCCAGCGGGCAACTTCTGCACCGAGTGCTGGAGGCAGGCGTGCACCTCCACGTCACTCAGGCCTTCCGGGCGCGGACACTGGACGGGCAGCACGCCCCGCTCCTTCAGGCTTGACAGCCACTTGACAGGCACAAGGGCGATGATGTGGCGGGACCTTCCCGTTGCGGCGACGGACAGCTGGCCCCGGTTGATTCCCAGGTCTCTCTCCACCTGTTGCAGCCGGAGATCCATTTTGGCGGTGGTGGCGGCGGCAGCTCTGCGCCCTTCGCTGTGGGAAACATGCAAAGAGGAGCCACTGATCAGTGCAAGGGGCAGAGGTGGAAAGGAGCTGCCAGAGGCACGAGCGGGTCACCCGGTCCCCCCTTTCAGGCTCCCGACTGGCAACAGCCATGGCTCTCGGGTTTTTCCGTTCCTGGCGGAGCTGTGAGCGTGTGTGGCTTTGTGAACCAACCCAGGACCATCGACCTGCCGGGCAGGAGATTTGCTGCTGGATGGAAGCTGAGGGAGACCCTTGCCCTCCTGGTTCTGGGTAAGGGGCTGCTGCTGAAGAGCAACTGAGGAACTGACCATGGAGGGACCCACACCTTTGGCC